TTTTCCTTGTTACAAAAAAACTGTCTACTTCCTGTCTGGAGAAACCAGGGACACTTGATTTTGAAGGGACTTCAGCAATGTAAGCATAAAATCAGCCCCTTCTCTTTAATTTAAATTCCACCCTTCCCTTGGGTGAGGGCTGTTTCTAAGTTATTTAAAGATTTAGAAAGTAGCTAGAAGGTCACTGGGTTTGTGGTGGCATTGGCTTTTACTCTTGTGCAATAAAACCACATTCTGCTTGTTCCTTTAGGTGAGGGCAGAAATGACTGGACGGAATGCCCACCTGCCCATACAGTTTGAAGAGAACAGTCCAAGTGCTCAAATACTTCAAAACCTTTTAAGAAATCAGAAATAGTAGGAAACATTGCATCTGAAGTCACAGAATATGCTAATGTTAACCCGTGTGGCTGGAATAAATGTGCAAGCTGATGTGTTAATCTCTGATGTATTTGGAGATATTTCCCTTATGTAAATAATTTAAATTGTCCACAAGGTAACTTCATTTTCTACAGAGTCTAATTTGATTTTAACATTATTTTTCAAGATCATGAGAGTTTATCATTTTGTTTTTGGTTTCATTCAATGGTAACAATCTGAGATAGTCACATGACCATCCAGGTCCAGTTGTATAACTTTTAACAAGTTATTTAACCTTCTCCTGTCTCAGTTTCCTCATTGATAAAGTGGGAATATAATAGTATCTACGACCAGGCACGGTGGCTCACGCCTGTAATCCCAGCACTTTGGGAGGCTGAGGCGGGTGGATCACCTGAGGTCTGGAGTTCGAGAACAACATGGTAAAATCCTGTCTCTACCAAAAATATAAAAAATTAGCCAGATGTGGTGGCACGTGCCTGTAATCACAGCTACTTGGGAGGCTGAGGCAGGAGAATTGCTTGAACTTGGGAGGTGGAGGTTGCGGTGAGCCAAGACCATGCCACTGCACTTCAGCCTCAGTGACAGAGCGAGACTCCATCTCAAAATAATAATAATAATAATAACAATAATAATAATAGTATCTAACTCTGAGGGTGCTTCTCGATTAATTTAGCAAACATTGTTGCATGGTCCAAAAGTGTTATGCATTAAAGATACATGGAGAGCAATGCCTATCCCTGACTTTCTGGCTCTTACGGATCAGGGAGAAAAATGGAGATGTAAGGACGCACAATAATAATAATAATAATAATAATAATAACAACAATGATAAAGATAATTTTACATGGTGTTAAGCTAAGAAGAAAAAGAACAGGTTATGAGGGTGATTTGATTGATTTGAGGGAAGGCCTCCCAGAGGTGGAGACATTTAAATGGAAGAATTTTTTTAAAAATTAGCCAGGTAAGAGCTAGGTATTGCAGGCAGAGGAAGGGTGCGTGCAAAGGCCCAGAAGCCCAAGCAGGTGGAGGCATGTGCTGTGGGCTGATAGAGTCCACTGGCAGTAGGCAGGTCCAGGTGGCACTGGCTTGTAGGCCCAGAGAAGCAGTTGGAATTTTCCTGAGTTCAGTGGGAAACCACTGGAAGCCTTTAACACAAGGGCAGGACCTGACCTCAATCACAATTTTTTTTTTTTTTTTTTTTTTTTTTGAGACAGAGTCTCACTCTGTACCCTGGCTGGGGTGCAGTGGTGTAATCTTGGCTCACTGCAACCTCCACTTCCTGGGTTCAAGTGATTCTCCTGCCTCAGTCTCCAGAGTAGCTGGGATTACAGGTGCCCACCACTACCGGCTAATTTTTTTTTTTTTTTTTCAATAGAGAAGGGGTTTCACCATGTTAGCCAGGATGGTTTCGATCTCCTGACCTCGGCCTCCCAAAGTGCTGGGATTATAGGTGTCAGCCACCTTGCCGGGCCTCATTCACATTTTTAAAAGAGCTCCTGACAGCTGGTCTTTGCTGGACACTGTGAACCACACAGTCCAAACCTTCTTCACTTCACGTCCAAGCCTGCAAACGCTGGCCACCCCGCAACTGTGAGATGCTCAAGGAGGAGTAAGAGGTAGCTGTGCTGGGAGTGCCCTACAACCCTCCTGCCTCAACATCCACCATGATCCACATCTGCAGCGAGACCTCTGTGCCTGACCATGTCATCTGGTCCCTGTTTAACACCCTCTTTATGAACTCCTGCTGCCTGGGCTTCATAGCATTCGCCTACTCCATGAAGTCTAGGGATAGGAAGATGGTTGGTGACCTGATCAGGGCCCAGGCCTATGCCTCCACTGCCAAGTGCCTGAACATCTGGGCCCTGGTTCTGGACATCCTCACGATCATTCTGTTTATCATCATCCCAGTGTTGATCTTCCAAGTCTATCGATAGAACAGGAAGCAGCATCCAGGCCAGGAGCTCTGACCATGACCTGTCTCCCACGCACTCCACCTTCCATTCCTTGCCCTGTATCAGCCCTTTATCCTCACACACGTTTCTACAACGGCATTCAATAAAGTTCACATGTTCCTGGAAAAAAAAAAAAAAAGAGCTTCCTAGCTAGAGGGTGGAGAGGGGACTAGGGAAGGAGTAGAAGCCAGGGCTTTCATTGTAAGGATTAAATGAGATAATGAATGTATAGCATTTGGTGTCATAACTGACCCATCATCATTTCCCAGTTCATGTTAGTCATTTCTATTAATAGTTATGATCTATATTATTAATAATAGTACTTCCTAGGTATCATAATCTGACGGTATAAACTCAATGTGTACACCAGAAATTAAATGTCCCCTCTGATTTCATTCACTACAATGTCAGAAAAAAAGTTGTTAGAAAAAATTCCCAGTCTGTGACCTGGGGGTTAGGGAACCCTGGGTTTGGAGAAGACTCAAGCCTACTGTGTCTGAGTCAGGAGATGGGAAATGAGTTTACTGGCCTAGATGAAACTCAAGTTAATTTTTATTCCCAAGTTCTTCACCTGATTATGGCCCACATAGTTAGCTGCACGTGCTAAGTGCAAACTTTTTGCCGAGCCAGTTTGTGAAACACTTTTCACTAATTAGTATATCAATCTATAAAAGAAGGCACTTCTTAAAAATACTTTGTTTTCCAGAAATCACAATACAGTACAGTACTCACTTTTGTGAGATTTACTTCTGACCCAACCAAGGATACATGCAGAGAGAATGTGTGTTTGGAGAGCTGGCATTCATGCAAATTTCAGGTTTTGAGAAAGGGATTTACTGGCTATCCAAAACCAAAGGCATGTGCTTCTCAACCTCTAGGCAGTAGGGCAGGATTGTATTCCTGTCTGACCAGTGGGAAATCGGAGGCACAGTAGGCCTGAGTCTTCTCTAGACCAGGGGTTCCCAACCCCTGGGCCATGGACCAGGATTGGCATTTGTAGCCACTCCCTATTGCTCCCATTACCACCTCAGCCCCACCTCCTTTCAGATCAGTGTTGGCACTAGATTCTCATAGAAGTGCAAACCCTGTTGTGAGCTGTGCATGTGAAGTATCTGGGTTGCATGCTCCTTATGAAAATCTAATGCCTGAAAATCTGTCACTGTCTCCCATCACCCCCAGATGGGACCATTTAGTCGCAGGAAAACAAACTTGGGGCTCTTGCTGAGTCTACATTATGGTGAGTTGTATAATTATTTCCTTATATATTACAGTGTAATAATAATAGGTATAAAATGCACAATAAATGTAATGCACTTGAATCATCCCAAAACCATCCCCCAGCATCTGTGGAAAATTTGTTTTTCACAAAATGGTCCCTGGTGCTGAAAAGGTTGGGGATCACTGCTTTAGACCAAGAAAAAACACCGAGTAAATGTGAGAGCAAAATGCTAAAGAACTTTGCTGACTCTTCTCAAAGCCTCATTTTTCCCATCTATCGAATGGCTGTAATAATCATGCCCTCCTTTTAAGGTTACTGTGAGGATTGAGGGAAATAATTCATAAATGTGTTTCCATTCAGTCTGACACAAAAAGAGCTGGACAGTTGTTAATTGTTGAGGCTATCATTGTTACTCAAAGACCAAAGTACCTGCTCTACTCCATTTGACCCATTTCATTCTAGATTTTAAAAGGATGGTTCTGATAGTCTGAGTAGAACTGCTTTGGAGACCAGAAAATGTTAGTGTGATGACCTTCAGCATCCTATCTATCTATGACCCCAATTTGATCCTTGAGCCAGGATGAAACCTGGAGAAGAGCTCTTGGGCCACTGGCTCCAGTTGTGGGGTCTTCCGAACATTCCCTTTAGCGTGGCAGACTCACAGCTCTGCGAGAGGTGCCTTTCCCAAAGCTGCTTGAAATTACACTTGTAACCTGGGAGTTTGATAAGCCAAGGGGTCTGGGGTTTCAATTCCCTCTGTCCTCTGCCTTTCTAACTGGCAGTAATTATCTTTGTAATGCTCTAATGCTGAATAATGATGCTGCTAATGCAGGCTGCACTTCGCGCACAGGTGCCAGCTGTTACCTCGCCGGGCAGCTGACCGCGCGGTGCACACTTAGGCACATTCACTGAGCCCAGCCCCAGCCCACACCAACTAAACAAAGAAAGCCCCAGCCTTCCTACCGATCCACCCCGCCCCTCTCCCTCGGCCTTAAGGAGGCTCTTCTCCCTCCCTTCCCGGCCCACGCTCTCCTCCTCCACCCCTCCCTCACTTCTTCCCCTAACAGCCCTCCCTCCCTTCGGTGGTTTCTTCCTGCAACAGAAATCCAGGAAACCGCCCCCCACATTTCCTTTACCCACGATTTTCTCCAGAGTCTGACTCACACACAATTCAGCTTGATTTGGAGTTCCCTTTTCTCTGCCCCATGAGAAACCCCAGCTCTCCCATTCATTTCTGGGAGTACAGGCTTGCCAGATAAGGTTGCTTATTTTTGAGTCTGATAATTGACCTTTCATCATGCGGGTGGGGGGGGAGGCATATTGAAGACAAATTACCAAAGAACAAATGTGAGGCTGTTGGCTTTACACACACACACACACACACACACACACACACACGACCCTTTACATATTTGTCCATAGAGCAGCCTTCAGCAGACAACATCTGCAGGATGAGCCGTTTTTCCGTAACTTTAATCTCGTAATTCATTGTTTCTCTGGTGCTGGTTACAGTAGCTAAGAGGGTGGAACGGCAGGCCAATTTGTCACACAAACAAATTTAAATGTGGACCGAGGGGTTTGCCCACCTTATGATGAGTGGTTGACTTGTGGCCAAAAACACAAAACAAAAACAAAAATAAGAGGTGGGGTTGATGAGGTCTGGGGAGCAAGAGTTGCAGTTTCGAAACAGAGTGGAGGCTCCTTTAATCTTGACAGCCAGAATGCTACAGGGGTCACAGCACATCTGCTCCGGAGGAAAGACAAAGGGCAAGGTGGGGCCACGGTAGCCTGCGCGGGGCTCTTGGAGGGCTGGGGGCGGCGTGCTCCGAGCTGGGCGCGAGTGGAGGGGCCCGCGGCTTTGTGCGCCCCCGCCAGTGCCCGCCTGCAGCCCCGCCGCAGCGTTTAACCTTGACTTCTCCCTCCTCGCTTCTGGCACGGGAGGAAAGTCGGTCCAGATGGGCGTCCTGAGTGTGACGACGTCCCCTCCCGCCCCCGCGCTCTCGCGCAGATGTCGCACGCTGCCCGGGGTCCCGCCACACCGCCCACCAAGGCCGGGGGACCTGCGCGCCGGGGGGTGGCGGGCACGTCCCACACCCTCTCCACCCGCCCGCCCCGGCGCCTTTCGCATTCCCTTCTTCGGCCTTGGCGCCTCGGACTGGAGCGCCCAGGCCAGCTCAGGGTGTTCCCGCGGGGGTCTTCGGGAACAATGGTGAGCCTGTGCTCTGCTGGCTGGGGGGGTCGTCCCCGCAGCTGGCGCGTCCCTCCCGGCTGAGCGCCCAGAGCCCCCCGCGGCCCTAAGTTGGGCCACCGCTGCGGCCGGGCCGGGCGGGGACATTTGAGGCCCGAGAGACCCGCGCTCATGGACAAGTGTCGCCCGCGCCGGGCAGGGCCGTGGAGACAGACCACGCAGTGACAGGCCGGAGGCGGCTCGAGGGATCCATAATTTATGATGTGTTCTTACCAATCCGGTTTGGGATTTCACAAGCGTTGTCAGTTTCCTTCCCATTTGTTGCTTCCGTCTGTCCTTTTGGAGAAAACTCTTTCCCTCCCCAGGACAGAAGCAGTTGCCCTACTGAATTAATGTGATAAGGAGAAAAAAAATGGGATTGAAGATTAAGGGAATGGGTGAACACAGGTAAGGGGGTGGGGCTGAAAGAGAGGCTGCTTAGTCCTTTGTGTACCTTCCACCAATTTTACCCAGACCATGAAGAAAAAAGTAAGGCCATTTTCAGATAGATGGGGTGGAGGGTTCATGCTGAGAGGCAGTGAGAGCAGATCTTCCTTACCACTACCACCAATCATCCTCCTCAATTACAAATAAGCCCCTTGGCCCTAAGATTTTTCTTTTTTCTTTTTCTTTTCTTTCTGTCTTCCTTTAAAAAAAAAAAAAAAAATTGTTTTTTGGTTTTTGTTTTTGTTTTTGTTTTGAGACAGAGGCTCTCTCTGTCACCCAGGCTGGAGTGCAATGGCGCAATCTCGGCTCACTGCAACCTCCATCTCCCATGTTCAAGCGATTCTCCTGCCTCAGCCTCCTGAGTAGCTGGGATTACAGCCGCCCACCACTGGCACCCGGTTAATTTTTGTATTTTTAGTAGAGACAGGGTTTCACCATATTGGCCTGGCTGGTTTCAAACTCCAGACCTCAGGTGATCCACCCGCCTCAGCCTCCCAAAGTGCTGGGATTACAGGCGTGAGCCCCTGCGCCTGGCCAAGATTTTTCTTGAAGCGCTGCAGGACGCCCCAAAATGAACTTGGGTCTCCAAAGGGTGAGGGGTTGATTGTTCTTGCATTTCCCAATCTGGGCTGATCCCTGGGAGGACCTGCATTGAGGCACTGCAGCCTTAGTGCTCCTAACTTAGGATACATTTGGGGACCCTTGGGCAAAAGGATACTCCTGTGTTGAAAATTCCTAAAGTTGCTTTAGTGTTTGGGGAAAACTTTATGGATTTTATCAACTTTTAGTGCAATGAATAAATGTTAGGCACAACAAAGAGCCGTAAACTAGCTGGGGGAGGTTTTTCTCAGGCCACCTTTCCAGTTTTGTTTTGCTTTTTTCTCGAAAAGAAATTTATTCTAGACCCCTTCTTCTTCTCCTTTGGACTTGGTGTTGCTAAATGGAACTCAGGCCAGAGAGCAACTGTTGCAAATGCCTGCTGCGGTTGTCTCTGCAACACAGGCCTGTAAAGACTTGAGTAAGAAGAGGTTTGAAGTGAGTAGCTCCCTCCCAGATGCTGCCAGTGCAGAGGCAAGGGGAGGGTGGTTCCAGCCAGGGGCTGCTCCCATTGCTCCCGTGGGTGAGGAGGGGACAGGCATGGGAAGAGCCGTGAACTCCAGAGCCAGCAGCCCCTGCAGATGGCTGGGTCATTTTGTGGTTTACAAATGACCACGTCAGGTTGAAGCCACAGTCGCTGTGGTTACAGGCACCCGTGATTAGTCACACAGTTAGTGACCCAGTTACGGCACACCCTCTTGTAAAAAGGACATTATTCAACATCTTGCTAGCTTGATTTCAGAAATGGTCCCTGTATATAAGGAAAATGAAAACTGCAAGGGGTGGGGGATTGAAATCTAGGGTGTGTATTTAGGACTGCCAGGAGTTTGGTTTGCTGAAAAGGAGCACAGGTGGGGTGTGACTTTTGTGGCAAGTAGAATTCCACTGAACTTGAACTAGAGATTGCCTTCCAAGTTCAGGTATGACCCTTTCACAGAGGAGTCTCAAAGGGGTCTGGGAGAGAAAGACAAGGGCCTCCTGAGCTTCGACTTGGCTCATGTGTTTGTGGCCATCTGTGAAATGAAAGTGGGGAGTGAGGAAGGCAGGAAGGGGAAGAAGAACTCTGAATATGGAGGCTTGTGTGGGTTTTTACTTTTTAAAAATAGCATTTCTTTTACCACAATGCTGCAGGAACTTGTAAACATGAATCCCCAGCAATAGTAAACAAATTAGTCTAAGTTCTTTTATGTGAAAAGTAAGTAGAGCAAGTGTCTCTTTGGTCTCTGTCTCTCAATCTCTTTCACTCTCTCATTTTTTTTTCCACAAAGAGAAAATGCAAAACAAAAATATCCCCTCCTCTTAAAAGCTTCTTTGCTGGTGAGTGTTTGTCCAGGAACAAATAGTCTTTTATTCGAATGGTGTCCAAAAGTTCATAAGCAAAAAAAAGTGCCCAACGTCTGGTTACCCACAATACAGTCTCTGGCTACATAGTGGAGCTTTTCTGTCCTGAATTTGTGATCTGCTATCAGAGTCCTTTAATTTCTCTGAACAGAAGGCTCTTTGGAAGAAGAAAGGATGGGGGTGGGGCGCAACACTGGAATCGGTCTTTTTTTTTTTTTTTTTTTTCTTTTTTGCTGTTTTCTTCCAGTCAGCAAGTAGTGCTTGGATTCTTCTGATCTTTCCCAGCATCTTCCTGAGGTGTAGGCCATGGAAGGGTTAAGGAGGCTGCGGGCAGGTTTCCCTGCAGGGGTGGGGCAGCTGGGCAGGCACCACCCACCCCTGAGGCCCTTTATCTCCTTTGGAGATTTTCCTTTTACAGTGTGTTTAATGCAATCTTCAGTGATGACCCTCTTTTTAAAGCCATAGGTTTCCTTTAACTGTCGGGAGTCTACAGATATTCTCGACATTCCAAATGTAGGATCTGGCGAGATGAAAGAGGCAACCCATTAGGGAGAAGATTGGCTATTGTTTTGAGAGATGGGCAAAAATAATGACTTGAAACTGAATTTTAATTGCTGATAAACAATCATTTTAAACATTTGGCTGCTTTTTGTGGGTTGAAGCTTCCATTTCAGTGAATTCAATTTGATACACTTCTACAGAGCAGCCTTGATAAAAGTCAGGTGCTCTCCTATGTGCCCCAGATGCAGGTGAGAATAGGGTACCCCAAGGCCATGCTCTCATGGAACTTTTATGGGGTGGCAGTGGGGACTAGGAAGTAATTTTAAAAATAACTTTTGGATAGGGATAAGTGCCATGAAGATAATAAAAGAGAATAGAGAGGTTTCTCAGAGGAATTGATATTTGAGCCAACCATGGTGCCCCTTGGAAGAAATGGTCCAGGCAGAGATCCACATAAAGGCCTGAGGCTGAGATGAGCCGTGTGGAGGCCCCTGTCATCGGGATGGGGAGAAATAGAATGGAGAAGGGGTTCAGAGTCCCTTCACCCACCGACTCCTCTGTGCTTACCAGAGTTGGTGATTTGCACAACCCCAGGGGTGCTGTCATTACTGTGGGCTGCCCATAACCAGCATCTACATGACTCAGGTCCAGTTGCAAAGCCAGCAACTCAGCTGAAAGTTCAGACCCCATCCCTTTTATATGTAAATCTCCTTTGCCTTGACTTTAAAGCCAGCCATATGTATTGAAACCAGCAGAAGCAGCAGACATATAAATGGTGTCTGATGCGTGAGAGGGAGGTGCAAAGGAGTGTGTCTTGGGAGCTGGCAGACTGGTGGGAGGGCCTGGGGTTACAAAGGTTTGAGGTGAGAGATCCATGATCCATCCAATGGAGGACCAGTATTTCTCTCAGGTAAGTTTTGTGCCAACTGGAAGCAGTCCCCTCTGACGTGGGCATGGCTTCCTTTCTCCTCTTCCTTTGATTCTCCTTGTGCCTATATGTCCCAGAGGCCTGAAATTCAGTCCTCAAATTTCCCCCACATGTCTTCCTGGAGGCCTGCGGCTCTTCACTCACACTCCCTGGCCTGAGTAGTGAGTCCACAGATTTGATTCTTCTCCCCACAAAAGGAGCAAGTCAACTCGGGGTTCCTGGGAAAAGAGGTTCTCTCTCCTCCCTTCATGCTTCTCTCTCTTTTTTTCCTTTCTTTCTTTTTTAGACAGAGTCTCACTCTGTCACCCAGGCTGGAGTGCAGTGGCGCCAACTCGGCTCAGTGCAACCTCCGCCTCCCAGGTTCAAGTGATTCTCCTACCTCAGCCTTCCAAGTAGCTGGGATTACAGACGCATGCCACCATGCCCTGCTAATTTTTTAATATTTTTGGTAGAGAGGAGTTTCACCATATTGGCCAGGCTGGTCTGGAACTCCTGACTTCAAATGATCTGCCTGCCTCGGCCTCCCAAAGTACTGGGATTACAGGCGTAAGCCACCGCGCTGGGTCCCTGCTTCTCTTTTTCCTAAACTTAGGTTCTTGATGGACAAGGGTTTTCCAGTCCTTGGGAACAAATATGAGGGAGAGGAAGAAATAAAGGAAGAGTAAATGAGGCAGCAGGAAGAAGAGGAACTAGGGACTGAGGTGGGGGTGGGAGGACTCTTCCGCCTTCATCCGCAGGTCTCCATGTTGGGGGAAGAATTTTTGTCAGGTGTAAGTAAACTCACACGCTAAGATTGACTGTTTCTGGCCTCTTTTAAAATGGAGTGCTGTGGACACCCCAGCTGTTTCCCTCAGGCAGTCCCCCTAGTAGGGTCTCTAAATGGGCGGGTCTGTCCACCTCCTGTTCCTCTCAGGGCCTCTGTCTCCTGCCAGGGCTGCAGGGAGCTTTACACACGGGCCCCTGGGAAGTTGATTGGAAGCTAGCGGTTCATCTCTGCACTGCGGGCTCTCAATGGCCCCTTGGCCTGTTGAAAAAGCACCCAGAATGGCAACCCTGGGGCTGTTTACAGTCAGGAAGCAGAGAAGTCTCTGGAGAAGCCACCATAGCTCACTCTTGTGGGCAGGAGGCAGCTGCTGGGCAGAGGCAGGGACAAGGGTCTAGAGGCCTTGGGCCTCCTTCTCTCCTGGCCTCTAACTGTCGCCCCCTCCTGGCCCCACTCATCAAAAGAGAAGTTAGGCTTCCTATCTTTTTCAACTTCAATTCTCTTCTACAGTAGAGATTTCTGCTTTGTTTCATCAAGCTATCTAGAGTTACAGAAAACTGATATTCCCCTTCCCCGATCCTGCCATTCCATCTTTCCCTTGATCTCCCAAGTTCCAGCTCTGAGTTCCAAGACAATGGGTCTGAGTCTTAGCTCTGCTGCTTTCTGGCCATCTGACCTCTGTAAGCTGTAGGCTTTCTTGGAGCCTCAGGTAACTCATTTGTAG